CATTTTCTTTTGGATTCTATTTGTCTCTCCCTTGTATCCCATCCCTTCCTCTTTACTGGTTACTTCCTTGTTTTTGTGGAGCACATCCTCTAGTAACCTTCTTAGAAGGGTAGATAGGAAGTAAAATTTCTGAAGCTTTACATATCTATAATTGTCTTTATTCTATCCATATCTTAACAGTTTGGCTGGGGGAGAAATTCTATATTAGAAATGATTTTTCTCAAAGTTTCGAACGCATTGTTTCATTGTCTTACAACCTCCAAGGTTGCTTTGAGAAATCTGATGATATTTAGTTCTCAGTCCCTTATATGTGACCTGTGATTTTCACTCCTTCAAAGAGTTAGGCTCTTCTCTTTGTGTACAATGCTCTGAAATTTGTGATGTTGTGCCTCGATGTGAGCCTTTTTCATTCATGTTCTTGAATACTTGTGGGTGTTTATAACTGAATACTTAGAGCCTTCAGTTTGTGGAAATTTTCTTAAATTATTTCTTAGATAATTTTTCCTGTCTATTTCTAGATTTCCTGTCAGTCAGACATTGTACCTATTGGTCTGATTCTCTAATTTTCATACTTTTTATCATCTCTTATCCATTTATTTTTTTCCACTCTCCATGAGATTTACTCAACTTTATTTTCAACCCTCCTATTGTTTTAGTTTTGCTATCGTATTTTTGTTTTCAAAAGTTCTGTTTGTTTTTTGAATATTCTTTTCCCCATTCTTTATTGAAATATAATAGACAATTAGTTGCTTATAATTACATTGTACAAGTCAATGAGGTTTTTTCAATTATAGTTGGCATACAGTTTCAGTTGTATAGCACAGTGATCAGAGATCCACATAACTTGCAAACTGACCACCCCACTAAATCTAGTACCCTCTTCCCCCTTACATATTTATTACATTATTAACCATCTTCCCATGCTACACTCTACATCTCCATGTCTATTCTGCAACTATCCATTTGTACCTCTTAATCTCTTTGCCTTTTTTTATCCTCCCAACCCCCCTCCCATCTAGTATCCCTCTAAATATTTTCTGAATTTATGAGTTTATTTCCGCTTTTCTTGTTGTTGATTTTGTTCTTTAGATTCCACATGTACGTGAAATCATGCAATATTTGTCTTTCTCTATCCTACCCATTTCATTCAGCGCAAGACCCTCTAGGTCCATCAAGGCAATATCTTTTCCCATCCCCGTCCTTTTAGTCTGTGTGTGTCTTTTAATCTGAAGTGAGCCTCATATGTAGGAGTCTTGTTTTCTTATCCATTCAGCTTCCCTATCTTTCGGTTGGAGCACTTAACTCCTTTCCATGTGAGGTACCTATTGATAGAAATGTAGTTGAGATCAGCTGCCACCAGAGTGAGTCTTGGCGCTGCTCAGCAAGTTGCACGGGACTTGCCGAGGGAACAACTAGATGTGGCTTGAGTGGGGCCACGAGTTGAAAGAAGCAGAGCTTCAGGGAATCTTCTGGGCGGCGCGACCTCTGTTATCCCGTTTGG